AGGTGGGGGTGGGAGGACTGTCATTACTACTTTTGAGTTTCCTGATGTTTTAAATGTAGGTCTTAATGACCTTTGCACATCCCTCATTTGTTCTTTTATGCTTTCTAATTGTAAGGATATACATATTTAAGGTCTTCCAATAATAATCTACACCACCAATATGGAGACCCATAGACAGCAATGCGCCCCTGCACCAAGGAATTACAATTGCATGTAAGTCAAGAATTATAAGTGACTAAACATTCATATGTTTGTGATTACATCAGTGGTATCCTCATTGGGCTTTCTATGTATACAAATCATGTCTGCAAATTTCCTGCATGTTCTCTCTCTTTTTTTTTTTTAGTCTATGAACCTCTACTTGCAGCTTTGACATGCTCCTTGTTCTTGTCTGGCCAAAATAATAGGTAATAATAGGAACAGAGAAGGCAGTGGTGGGCTGTGCTGGAAAAGAAAGCTAAGCTTTCCCCCAAAATGCAATGTGGCAAGTCATGGATAGGACCAACTGGGATGGTCTTTTCCAGTAGGAGCGTAAACAAAGGCAGGCATTTTCTACCTGCCTATTCACCCTGCTATACGCATTCTTTGGGATGGGGTATGCAGTGTGTAGTTGGTTAAACTATGGAATTCTCTGCCACAGGAAGTGGTATTGGCTGCCTATACCACTGGCTTTAAAGAAGGACTGGACAACTTCATGAGGGAGAAGGCTCTCAGTGGCTGCTAGCCTTGCTGGCTGTGTGCTGCCTCCTTTACCTGAGCTTGCCTGCCTGCATACACCACTTGGGCAGGAAGAGGTCTTGCACTCATCCTGTTTGCGGGGCCCTGTGGTCAGCTGCTTTACCTCAGTGTGTACAGAGTGCTAGACTAGATGGACCTTTGGTCTAATTCAGCGTGGCTTTTCTCATGTTCTTATCTGGTCTCCAAACCTTTATTTTTGTCTGCTTGACCTTTCTGCCATTCTGTTTGTGTGGGGGTGGGGTTAAAGCAAGGGGATTTCCAGCTGTTCACTCATGCCACTTTGTTGCTTTACCTCCAGGTTTTTGCAATGAAGGGGGCATTTCTTACCTCTTCCCCATGGTCACCTGTCTTGTGTTTTCCCTAACACTTAGGATATTTCTTGATGCAGTGCCCAGCTTCAGTTACAAGAGGGTGGCATGGTCACCTCTTTTCCTAGCTGGGTTATTTCTGTACTTTCTTCTTTTAATGTTTTTTCTATCCATCCCATCATGCTCGCTAATCTCTGCTCCTTAATTCTGTTTTAAATTAGCACAGATGCATACCTATTTCAGTTCTGTCTTTCCACCATCATGTTTTCAGAGACTATTTCTATGTGTATGAGCTCATGTGTTTATGAAAGTGTCTGTACATGACAGCATTGAAAGCTTATGTCAGTTATTTATGTCCCACATTTTTCTTTTTTTAAAGAACTCCAAGTGGCTTACATCCTCCTCCTCCTTTCAATCTTATTCCCACAACAACAACCCTGTGAAGTAGGTTGGGCTGAGAGTCTGTCACTGGCCCAAAGTCACTCAGTTGGATCCATGGCTAAGCAGGGACTAGAACCCAGACTGCCTGAGTCCCAGAGTTCCTTAACCACTACACCACACTGGCCCTCAGGTTAGTGCCAACCTGTTAATTTTTTTTTTTTTTTTTTTTTGGTGGTGTCACAAATTTCACTGCTGCTTTTAAGGTTGAGTTTTCCAGTAGGATTAAGATTGGAAATATTCTTATTCATGTAAATGTGAATTTTAAAGGTTAGTGCAGATATAATCTGTACCTTAAGGGAATCTGTCTGAGATCCTATGTTTAAAAAGTGTTCTATGTCATTGACTTTGTTTTCCTTTTGTGTATGTCTGTGCACAAAGATGAAGTTTCCCCTTTGAAGTCTGATGAGTAAGTAAGGAAGGTTCTGTCCAGATTTTAAGATATTATTGAATTTCTTTTAAAAAATGGAAATCCGAAAATCATCCTGCTACACAACTGGAAAACAGACTTTAGTTTACCTTCCTTCAATTAAGCAAATTGCCAGTGACACTCCTTTTGAATACACCCCATTTTCAGACAATCTGAAAAAAAATACCTAGAGGAACAATTCACTGCTTAGTTTCTGCAGTCCAGGAAAAACTGAATCACTAGTGTAATTCTACTAGAAATCATTCTGACCAACTAATGGGAGAGAAACTACAACATCCACTGGGGCACTGCATCAGCATGGAGCTGTCAAAATAAATACAGAGATTCTGGACATTGAAAGTAACTCAGTTTTAAAAACACTTGCAACTAAGAGAAACTTATTTGCATCTGGTACATGCAAAACAGTTTTCTTTACTGAGAGGGATGGCAGGAAATATATCTTATTTTGGATATTCATCTCTCTGTGAATCACTTTTCTCAACAATGAAGCTGAGAAAATCCCTAACCAGAACATGGTTAAGAGATGAGCATCTGGAGAACAGCTCATGATCTGTATTTTCATCAGATGCCCCAAACTTCAGCAAATTTGCAGATGGCATACTGTGTCAAGCATCCCATTAAAAGTCTGGTGAGTTGTGTTTTATTTCTTCCTATTCTGTGTTCCATAAAGCAGGACAGAGAATGAACTCCTATGTGCATTTAGAAAGGAAACGGTAGCAGGGTGTTTTGTTTTTTCCTGTCCAATCATGCAATAAGGACTGCACCCTTATTCTTACCTGGATAGCAATGAATAACTTCCAAGGTACAATACTACTGCAATCCCCATTAGCCCTTGCACTTGGAGGCTTACCAGCATCATGTGCAGAGAAGAAGCAGTGAAAGTATTCTTTGCCTCCCTATTCTCCCACCCTGCTTTATCAGCTAGGTGGACTTTTTCGTTGTCTGGTGAAAGCACTTCAGAGGAGGAGGGAAGGAAGCCAGGGCATATCCCATACCCTGGCCTCTCCTGTCTCTTCTCCTCCTCACCCACTGAAACACTCCCTTCTGTGAGACCAGATTCCCAATCCCAGAGAGAAGCTGGTATGATTCTATGTTGGGCAGGACAGGGAACGGGGTTGGATCTCTTGATTGCCTGCTCTGAGGTTGGAGCACTGCCTTTCGCAATCTGAATTAAATGAGGGCCTTTCAGACACTGTCTCAGGGCCATGGGACCTTTATCAGTCACTGGAGATGTATATTATATTTGACACAGAGTAGCTGAGTCCAGGCATACATTTGAATTATTCTGTATTTCAATTCATTTACTCTGAAGCTCATCGAAGCTACAGTACTACCTGGCCAGCCCTACCTTAAATACCTATCCCTGGAATATGAAGAGTCACAATGCCAAAAATGATGGGCAGTTTGCATTTTTGTTATAGTTATTTATTGTTAATGTTTAGATGTTTGGCTTTCTGTTTTACTTATCTGTTAGTAAATTATTTCATGTTTGAAATAATTTGTTGTCTTTTTGATCTGCCTACCCTGGTGGTGGTGATTTTGTGAACAGCCACATCTACATGGTGGCCAATTCCTAAGTGGGGCTGAGGGCACTTTGTTAGGATTCCAAACATCCCTATGGGCCAGGAAAAGCTGGGGGATCTCTAATACAGACACTATTCTTTGTGGATTACTTTCAGTCTCTAATCCAATTAGGACCAAAGGGTTTAGATGAGAGAGAGATTTGGAGACATCTTGCATAACATAAAGGTGGATAACGTGGTATAAAGCATAGCCTGTGTGAAACAGCCAGTGCATGCTGAGCTATCAAACTTGGAACATGTCAAAGAAAAATAGGAAGTGAATGCATGTTATTCCTTCCCAAACTCTGAGCCTAGTTTTCTGTAAGTCTGCTACCTCACACAACCAACTTGGGGTCACTTTCTCTTCGTTTGAAAATCAGGTTCAGAGCTGTGGGATCTAAGAGCAATACATCTGACCCATTCATCCTCCCTCACAAAAATTACAGCAACCTCATTAACAAATACAATTAGATGGGTATGTGAAATAATGTTCCCATCTCTTTCCAATTTCATTCCCAGTGAGGTTATGGAAAGCATTTGAAAACCATATTTATCCCCAGACAGTAAATCTGCAGTGTTGCCAATCACACTAGGACAATGCTTAGATTGATTGATTCTCAAAGCATCAAACAGTCTTTATATTTTAAACGTATCCTTTTCCTTTCCATTTGCAGAAGCAGACTGAGATTGTCAGGTTCTTTTAACTATAGCCAAGAAAAATGCTTAGAAAATGTGACTATTGCTATTGCATTTCTAAGATTTCCAGCAGAGAGATTTCCCTACTCCCTCATTCTCTTTTTCCTCTACAAGCAAAATGAGCAACAGAAATGCCAAAAATCAACTGTGGATTATTCTTTTTTCCAAACTGTTGAGACCTTTTTAGAGCTATAAAATGGAAGGCAAAATAATGAAAGGCTCAGAAAGTAAGGAGCAAGGAGAGATGTTACAATTTCTCTGAGCAATAGAAACAATTATAATATCATGTGCTAAGTTATTTCTTTTTGCAAATCAGTCAGGATTCTCCTTCAGAGAACATTTAATATAGCAGCAACCAAGCACTACTCCCTCCTGCCCCTTCAACTTCTTTCCAAAATTGAATCTTCTCTTCAAGTAATTAACCTTGGGGAAAGTGGTCATTTTGCAGTTATGGTGGGATTTAATCAGACAGTGGCGATCCAATATAAATTGAACAGAGTAGTCCACTGCAATGAATGAGATACAGTGGCGATGAAATCAAATCCCATCCTTTTCAATGGATCTATGTTAAGTAGGGACTTAAGATGGATTTCACCCTAAGAGCTCATTTCAAGTGAGCTACACTAACGAACTTCATTTTCGAAAACAGTCTCTGCCCAAGGATGTGAATCATCTAGCTATGTTTTTTAAATGGCAGACATTTCATAATTAGCATATGCTCTGATGTCTATTGGTATATCATCCTACTCAATGGTATGATAATTAGATCCTAACTTTAAAAACTACACATTCTTTCATGCAATATTTAGGAAAAGAGGTCAAACTTACCACCGCCACCTCCAAGAAGACTTGCATTAGCTATGAAAGAACAAAGAGAATAGAGGATTACATCAACTTACATAGCAAGGTTTATATTCTCTCTCTCTCTCTCTCTCTCTCTCTCTCTCTCTCTCTCTCTCTCTCTACTGATATGAACCCCCATGTTAATTTAATTTTAAGCCAGCCCATTTTTTCTCTTAATACAAGGATCTAGGTGTTCTAAAGATTTTTAGAATAACTCAGAAAAAATACATAGTTTCTCTATATATGCAGCTGAAGTGAAAGTGATGGACTAAGCCACATATTGATCTGAAAAGCCCTTAAAGTCTTGGGCCTGATGCGCATCTTACTGGCATCTTACAATTTTCCCCATTGGAGATTATGGGCTTTATCAAGCATTGTGGTAAATGATGCATAGGTTACAATTCCATACCCACTCAGCTGGGAGTATGACCCCAATGAACTCAACTGGCTTTCTTCTGCATAGACATACACAAAGGCTGCACTGCACAGCATTTCTCACCTGAAAAAATTACACTCCAGACCTTCACCATCATGACCCCCACTGCCTGTTACTTAGTGTCCCCTTGTCCAAAATAAGTCTGCACTGTGCCTTTCAATATTTGAAGCTGAGCCAACAGAGAAACATCCCCCCCCCCCGGATATTTCATTTTAATGGTCAAGGGCATGTTTGTTTGATTTTTGTTTGTTTTTATACTGCCCCATAGCCAAAGTTCTCTAGGCAGTTTACTATAACTAATGCTGGGGTTGAGCACACAGTTGCTGATTGAACCCTAAATTAATTGTGAGGTAAATTCTCCACATCATGGATTTCACAGAAGAGACCCCATGGGAAATAGGGAGCAAAGGAATAGTCTAGTAACTATCTTCAGTTCTATTAAACCTACTGAAGAGTTCTATTAGAGCACTAGAACTTCTAGAAATCTTCAGTAAATCTTCAGGCAACTGGGGGAAGACCTATTCTGTGGTGGCCCACCATCTGCTGCAGCCTGCCTGAAGCCAAGCTTGCCATCTTTTCAGTGCCAGGTTAAGACAGCCCTCTTTGCAATGTCCTTTAAAGAACCCTCTGGTCATTCAGGAACCTGACGTGATTATCCAGATGCCTTCATTTTATTCCTGGCCTGGTCTTTTTATTGTCTTTTAATGTATTTGATGCTATTTTAAAGTAATTTTTAATTCTAGTGCAGCACCACGACTTCACCTGTGAATATACCATTTTCACCCCCATATAATGCTTCAAGAGATGTCTGATCTATACAGTAAGAGAAAACTAGAATCTAAGGGCAAAAAGTACTAAATTCTAAAAATGTCATCTAAACCCATCATTATGTCAGTGCAGATTTTCCCCCTTGATGTATGAGAGCTTTTGGTCATTTCAACTTAAGCTATAGTCCTTGAAAAGTTGTTTTCACCACCACCATTCTAAAATAGTTCATATATAGACTGCAGAGACTAACATAATGACTTGCTTTAAAGTAGTATTTATATCTATGTGCAGACAGCTTGAAAGGTTATAGTATACCTCCAATTCCAGTCATAGTTTGGAGATGCCCAGGATAGATGCTTAAATTTTGAAATGTACTTACAGCTTACCCCTGCTCCAGTACCTATGTAGCACTGCTGCCATTGTTTTGCTGCAGCTGTCTTGCTCAACACACCTAAGATTTCTGATATGTTTATTGTAGCTCTGGTAGTGTGGATAGCTATTCCATGCCCAACTTCAGTCCTATTTGATCGATTACGACCTGGTCACATAAGGGATGGTCATGCATAAGGGACGGCATACAAGTTTTAAATAAATAAATATACCACTGGCAAATTTTGGATCAACATGCCACATCATTCTGATGGTATCTCTTTGGGCTGAAAGTGTTAGGTTTACTTTGGATTCTTAACCCATGAACTACTTATCATGTCAAGGTTTACACAGCATGAAGCAACTTCCAGTCAGGCCTATTGGAACGCCTTTTTCCCTATATGCCCTGCCACCCCCCGAGATTGGCAGCAGAAGCCCTCCTCCGGGAACCCTCTGTGAAAGACGTTAGGAGACATAGTACCTGGAGGAGGGCCTTCTCTGCAGTGGCGTCCCAACTATGGAATGCACTCCCTAGACAGGTCCGCCTGGCGCTGTCATTATATGTTTTTCAGCATCAGGTCAAGACCTTTTCATTCAATCAATATTTTAATATGTATTAATTGGATTTTCTTGTTTGTATTTTATTGGATTTTCAGCCAGCATGGAATAGTTAATTTATTTTATTCTGATTAATGTTGTAAGCCGTCCAGAGACAGAAGTAAATAAATATTTATTTTATAAATAAATAAATAATATAAGAGCTTAAAGGATGGCATCAAAGCTGCATTTATGTGAAAAGAGGCCCCTTCTGTTAGAGCAAGGGAAATGGTTGGTGGCAGGATACACAAAGTCTTGCCCAAGTTAGCAGGTTAAGAATGGGGGGAACATCTGTAAATACATCTCACTGAAGATCAGGTTTTTAAAAATGGGAATTTATATTTGCATGATTAATAGAACTGAAAGTATCTGTATTTGTATGTATCCTAACTTACAATTACAGCTCTTAAAACAAGGATTTCAGCTTCCATGGGTATTTGAGGACTGGGGAAAGAAAAACAGATCATCCAACAGAAATAAAGGGGTGGCCTGTGCACATCCTTAAGTAATAGTGATTAGTGAGAGTGCATGGGAAGGAGCCAGTAGGAGCAGCAAGTACCAGAGTTTCAGCCTTAAGGAGGCCACTGGCATATTACTGACGGACACTGGCAGACTTCTGATAACCTCAGAGGAGGCTCTGCCTTGAACAAATGAAAATTTTAATTTTGAATGGAATTATTGTTAGATCAGACAGCATTGTTTGGACAGGTAGAGAGGAACAGGGAAGTACAGATAATAAACTCACTGCAAGTTTCTCTCTCTCCCCCTCCCCCTCCCCCGCCCATTTTTGGTAGTTTCTCAAGCTGATACTCGTACTTGGCTAGTAGAAATGACCATTAGCACTGGCTAGTGAATCCAGAAAGCAGTTTCTGGAATGGGACAAGTCAGCAGAATACACAGTCTTGTTCCATTCAAGTCATAGCTTTGGCTAATGTTGTGATCTCCACTAGTTAGTTTCACGTTATACTAGCAGTTACTCCTACTGTCACAGTATGCTTAGAGCTGGCAGGTCACCAGTGCTGGAATCTGTCTGTTATGGTTAATGAGGTCAAGTGTCAATATAAGGATTCAGTTCATGGATTCCATATTCACAAGCAATAGAGCAGGGTTGCATTACATGCCTGGATATGCAGAAAGTAAAAATCATTTCTAATGGATATACATTTTCTCACAGTTAAATGGATTTTACAAGTATTGTTGGATATGTGTACTACAAAGTGCTGTATTTCTGCAATGCCTCTGGAGATAACATGTTTGTGACATTGTAAACCATTTAAATGAGCAACATTGATTACTTTCTCTGAAAAACAGGCATTTAACCTCTTAAAAATGCTAATTTTTTCAGGATCATCTTTTCAACACGCACTAATGGGTTTGATTAAAAAAATACACTCAACTGATACGCCATACAACTGAGCATCTGCTGCTATAATAAAATATACTTTAATGCTTAATTCAAATTGCATTGATCCAAGCAGCATTTTCTGAAAAACAAATTTATACTATTAAACTGCAACAGAAATTGCTGAACTTGGAAGAGAAGAAGGTACTCTTTTGTGGCTGGTGAGTAAAAGAAAAGACACCTTATCTTATCAATAAACATCACAGAGAGGTGGCAGATAGCAAACAGGATAGCAGCAGCTATATGTCCTCTTATATGTTTCAGGATATATCTTTACCCGCCATTGGTATTTTGCCTGGTCTTTCTCCCAATACACATACAAAACCCATCCAGAAACAATCAAGAGCAATGTAAGAATGCTGAGAGCAAGCAGCTCTTATAAGTGCTATACAGGAAAACCTTCTGTAGATAAGGCAAGTACTAGTGGAACTGAAAATCAGATACATAATTCTTTACTATCTGTCATCAGTGTAGTTGACAAACACCATTATTGTATTTATTCAATTTCAATTCCAGATGCCCAGTTTTATTTTTATTTGTTCGCTCTTTGCTTAGAGTTGTTCCCCCCCCCCCCCATGTACAACATAAAAAAGATAAGAGTTGTGCTAGGACTGTGGGGCAGTCTCACGAACCAGGGTTCCTCCTTCACACATTCAAAAGCCACCTTTTTCCTTGCAAAGTGTACCTTATTGACCAAAAAGCACAAAACAATCAGAATTAATCTCTGAGCATGCACAGAATACAGAATACAGCCTCCCCTCAGTCTGCTTCAGCTTCTGTTTCTCTGTTCCTCTGAAGTCCAGCCAGCAGTCCATGAGAATGAACCCCGAAAGCAGCCATCTTTCTCACTCCCAGCAGGCAGGGAAGAGATCCTTCTACTTACAGTATAAAAGAAGAAGGAACTAGTACTAACAATTCCTGTCATTCACCAATAGCTTAGAAACCTTAGACTTCCATATGTGAAGTCGAAATAGTCTATCATTGCTAAGATATGAGTTTAGGGGCAGACAACATGGAGACATCTATGGATGTTGGTTCCCGCTCACCCCCAAATGTTGGAGGATTAGAGATTAATCAATCTGTAAGGCCCCAAGGGGTCATTTATTCTGATAAATACCCTTGTGCTGCTGTATAGTATAAAGGGGGATGGCTGTAAAAGAAATGGAGAGACCCCTCAGAAACAGAGCTGATGTGAACACATATCTGTCCAAAAGGTAATCTGCTCAGGACATACTCATGATCACAATGCCCTTCACAATTTAGCTGAAGGGGCAATGTGTTTGTTTCCCAGAACCAACATTAGGGTGTCCAATAGCTTCTAAACAGTATTTTTGTTGAATTAACCTTTGGTGTAATGAAGCCAAGGGAAGTGAAGCTCATGCAGCCAGCAATTGTTCTTTCTAGAACCCTAATTAAAGAGAACTCCAATAGCAAAGCTGGAAA